CTCTCTCTCTCTCTCTCTCTCTCTCTCTCTCTCTCTCTCTCTCTCTCTCTCTCTCTCTCTCTCTCTCTCCCCCCCCTCATCCCACACACTTGAAGCCACTGGCAGACAGTTCTCCCTCACTCATGACGTATTGACAACAACATTGTCCCAGGCTGAGCGTAGAAACCATGCAACAAATGGAAATGCGAAGAGACCATGCCCTGGCTTACGACGTGATTATCATCACCAGGCACTCGTACTTTATGAGATCATCTCTTTTCGGATGGAAGAAAGTAGAGCACTAACTTCTAAGCTAGGATTACGCACAAGTCATCTCGGACACTCGTGCGTGCCTCACACATACATGCGCATGGAGTTGGCAGCCACGAACTCAAAACCCGTGTGCCCTTCATTGCTGAAGAATTTCGCACACAGACAAGTAGTTCTCATTAGGTAGACAATACAAAGCAATATACACAAAATAGTTTTTTTTTTTTTTTTTTTTTAATGAATCGTAGAAATGGTGATTAAAGTATTAAAAAATAAAAAAATTGCACATCAATTGTTGCACCTTGCAATTCTCTAAAATCACCGGTGAAGTTGAGGGCTTAGAGTTTGATTGATTTTAAAAAATTCAGACCTTCAAAAAAAAAAGACCGAAACTTGTGAGACAGGGCCTCGCTGCACTCCTCTCGAAATGTGCAAAATGAGAGTGAATCTTCCGCTAGAACATGGAAAGATCCATACTCAGCCATGATTTTTGTCTTTTGTGCATGTCGAGAGCAGTGGAGCGAGGCCCATAGAAGGACAAAGCGATACCTTTATGCGAGAGAACCTTCATGGACGTGCCTTCCACTGCCAACTCCAAAAATGCGTCATAGCGTCTCGGCGCACCACTCACCAGATGTGAAAAAGACAAAAATATGCCGCATGCATGTATATTTCCATGTTCTAGCGTAATGTTCATCTCATTTTGCACATTTGGTGAGTGGTGCTGCGAGACCCATAGAAACACTCGTTCGGCCCGTCCTCCCTCTTGCGCCCCATCTTCGTTCGTAAGAGCAAACGACAAAAGCTAGAACATGTATATTTCCATGTTCTAGCGGAATATTCATTCGAAAAACACATCACCAAGTAGAGGTTCGTACTACCGTCTTCACCCGAAGAGAACGCCCGGTCATCATCGCTGTATCTAGACGGAAAGTTGCCCAAATACGGCTGTAATGACCGGGGGTTCTATTCGGGTGAGCACGGTAGGAGATGCCCTTTTCGATCCTACCGTATCTCAGCTGCACAAGTCGCCCTGGGTTAACTTAGGAGTTCCACTTCCGCAGACACAACTGAAAAGCAACACGTGTCCTCCGGGACATCCGTCAAAATTGGAACGATACACGGCAGATTAGCATGGCCCCTGCGCAAGGATGACACGAAAAAAAAAAAAAAAAAAAAAAAAAAAAAGAGACAGCACGTGGCTTGACAACGTACCTTTTTCAGAAAGAGGGCTTAGAACCATAAAATGCAACCCAACCCCTTTTTTTTTTCCTGGAAGAGTAACACAAAACAGACATTGAATGAAGCAAAGAGGAACATAGGAGGAAAGAGGAGAAAGGAGAGGAGAGGAGAGGAGAGAGGAGAGGAGAGGAGAGGAGGAGGAGCCGCCATAACTTTCACAGAGTGTGATTGACATGCGACAGTCTGAGAATAAAACTGGTTCGTCTTCGACTCACTCTACCGCCTTCCCCCCAACACAAGGGCACCCCCATGACGACTGTGTGTACCGTACCGGATGGCAAACCTCCCCTCTCCACCCGAATAGAACGCCCGGTCATTACCGAATTTACCGCTGTATCTAGACTGAAAGTCGGCCGAAAACACAGCTACAATGGCTGGGCGTTCAGCTCAAATGGATGACGATAGCCTCGTCCACATTCATGATCAGGGCACGTTGTGTTCTCGCGCTGTAGTACGGAATCGACGGCGTTTCCAACTTCGCTACCGTAGTGTTACGTCTCTCATGCCCGAGTAAGACATTAGCAGAACCCGCAATAAACTTAAGGGGTTGGTGATGGACTGTTAATGGGCGAACAAGGAAAAGCTATAAAGAGCTATTATAGTAGACTAAGTGCCTTGAGAGGAAGGATGAACGAGTGATGGTTTCTCTAAATGAAAGCCTTCTGCTCGCTGATATAAAGAGCTATTATAGAAGTGCCTTGCTATTTTCGACGCGATTTTTTCATCACCGGACAATTGTTACTTCACCATATTGGTCATGGTGCAACCATCACTCGAGCGCAGAGCTGGAGGTAGAATGAGTGGCGGTGGCTCGAGAAGAAGAATGCGTGCAACAGTTACCACGATGCACACTGACTGATACAATATCACAGTCATAACTTTCAAACAAGCACAGGGGGATGCTCAACGGGTGACTTCCTGCTTGTACACAGGGGCCGACGAGAGACCGGTGACCGGCCCTCTGTAGTATTTACATTATTACATTACTAGACAAAAACAAAAAAACACTGGCAAGGGAAAAAAAAAAAAAAAACACTTAGCTCCTAGGCTACCAGAGCGGCCCGGGGTCACTTGCCCGGCCAGGGCAAAAACATTAAAAAAAAAAAAAAACAGTATTTCTAAATCGTCTTTCTTATTTCGAATTTGGTGAAGAATTTCGATGTGACCCTGAGGCAAAAGTTGTTCAGTTTGTTTTTCTGCATAACATAATTTTTTTGTGGATTTTTTGGATTTTTTTTCTTTTTTCTTTTGCTGGGACCTTACCTGGTCCTTGCACGGGCTGGCCACCCGGGACCCGGGCGGCCCGGCTGGTAGCCTAGCTTAGCTCCAAAAAAAGAAAAAAAAACACTTAGCTCGAAAGAAAACACACACACACACACACACACACTTAGCATGGAAACAAAAAGTAAATTCACCAAGTAGTGGAACTCCGAGCATAAAATTTCTAGATCATTTATTGTTTGAAAAACGGGAAAAATAGAAAGTAATCTCTTTGATTTCCCCCCTTCAGGCATATGTACCTTCAACGTTTCTAGCCGCGATTTCGGCGTTTTTTGGGAAACGAAATCGTCAGGTCTTACCGGGATCCCACCGGTAGGACCTGACGATTTCGGTACAGAAAACGCCGAAATTGCGACCAGGAACGGCAACATCAAATGGCCAACTCGAAACGAGTAGTGTTCTCAAGATTTGTTTTTTTTATTTTTTCAAATCAAAGAAATTCCTAAGAGATCTTTTGAGCAAGTGGCAAACAAATTAGACGAAAACGTGAAACAGCCATCAACGATGCACACCGGTCATAATTCCATTGCCGCTGCAAACCGCGGCGATTGAAAGGGAACAAGATAAACATACTGTAAGAAAGAGAGAAGATAGAACGAAGAATGCTTCCGGGACATCCGTTAAAATCGGAACCATACAGAGAACGAGCAATTACTGTATTAGTATGGCCCCTGAGGTTATAAAGATGACACGCACAAATCGACAAAGAATGAGGTGAACGGCGAACAGGGGTGCCCCCTTCTTCTTTGCTTTTCTGCAAAGAACACAATCATTCATTCCATCCAGTTCATTTGATGGCCGGGGTCCTCACACTCTACACGGCGAAACATTACTGGCAGCAACTACCCAGCTTCGACGGTTACACTGGACCAAAAGAGGAAAACCGAAAAGCAGACATTCCAAAATAGGAAAACAGAAAAGCGAAAGTCCAAAAATCAAAATTCCACAGCGAGAATCCTTCAAAGGTGAAAATCCATAATAATGAAAAGAAAAAAAAAAAAGAGTGAACCACAGTTAGACGGCACTTATTTTTTCGATTCGGCGTGCCAAATATGATTGACAAGAGAACACAATGTAAACAGAAAAAAAAAAAAAAAAAAAAAAAAACAATCCGTCGCAGAACGCACCTCCGCCTTCACCCACTCTTCTCCCAGCACCGCCTTGAACGCTCAGCGATATTCGCAAACTGGCAACAGACAGAAGCCAATCCACTGCTTAACTTCGGTCATCCCTGGTAGTAAAGCCCATCAATTGCTTAGCTTCGGCAATTAGATCCCACTCATTCGGTCTTTCCTATCCCTCGAGCGCTCGCTCGGTCGACCGATCCTATCACCGCTCGACCTAAAGGTAGTCCGAGACCTGCACCCGATCCGACTAGACAGCGGTCAGCACAACAAAACCGCGATGATGACCGCTGCAAGCTATCAACCTGCAACACTTCTCCGCCACTCAGCTACGCGCAGCGCAGTAAATACCTAGTATTTACGCTGCGTTGATTTCACCATCACGATGATCAGTAAGGATTGACAATGTAAGCTTCCGGCAATGCACTCCTCGACCAGCAGAAAGGGTGGTGGTGGTCGTTCCACCATGGCACCACACGAAACACCGACAACAATTTCGACTACTCCACACTTTTCACTACCCCTCTAATCGCTTCGTCTCCCCACCAGGGCACAAACATTGCATTCGGAAATGCGCCCTTCTCTCTCTCTCTCTCTCTCTCTCTCTCTCTCTCTCTCTCTCTCTCTCTCTCTCTCTCTCTCTCTCTCTCTCTCTCTCTCTCTCTTTGGGCAACAGAGTTAGGGACAAAAATAGATATTGACGAACGAACCCAACATAATGCGGAAACGAAAAGTGCTTTCGTAAACAGCTTGGCGTTCTTTATCAGGGAAGAAGACAACAACAGCATTCCGAGGACGAGAAGGAAAACGACAACGGGAGGTTAACAATTCAGGACACAGTTCCCACATGGCCATTGCTAGCAGCATCCGAGGAGGTGACAACGACAGAGTCGGACGCTTGCACCGCGGCCAGCTTCGTCGTTGCCGCCTCTTTCGGCACCCGCCTGTTAGGCTCGAAGACGTACTTGATGAGCGAATCCCGAATGTCGAGCATTTCAGGGAATTCCTTCTTCATCTTCGTCATGTCGAGCTCGTTGTTACTCCTCGCCGCGACGATGACCTTTGCCTGCTCCTCCAGCGTGAAGTTCGTCCACTTGAAACTCGGGTCGATGTAATCCCTATACAACTCCAATATCTCGTTATGGCTGATTGGCTTCGGATTGGTGAAGTTATAGATGCCTGTCAATCCTCTCCTGGCCATCTCAACGGCGTAAGGCAGCAACTCGTCCAGCACTGTCATCGAGTTCGGGATGTTCACCACCTTCTCGTACATCGTGATCTTCGTGATGAAGTTCCTAGGATTCCTCAAATCCGAGGTTATCGGCATTCGGACCCTCAGAGTCAAGACATTGTCGTACACTCTCAGAAGCTCTTCCACCATGCCCTTAGTGAACGAGTAGTAGGAGCCGGCGAAGTTCGCCCTCTCCTCCTCCGTGAAGCCAACGCCAGAGCCCAGGGGATGCGCGGCATCGTACTCGAAAATGCATCCGGTCGCGAAGTTGGTGACGTGCAGGTTATGCAACTTGCACACGTCGACAAGATTTAGGGTTCCGATCACGTTCGCGCGAATCGTCTCCGCCCTGTGGCTCTCACACCAGTCCACGTTCGGTCTTCCGGTCACGCCCGCGGCATTGAGGACGTGCGTAGGCTTGGCTGCCACGATATCAGCCTTCAAAGCAGCTCTGTCCTCCAAGCGACCCGAGCCATACACATACGGAATGCCCTGCTCCTCACACAGCTTGCCCAACAACCCGCCGATCCAACCCGTGCGCCCATAGATCAACAGCTTCATGGCAGTGCTACCGGTAGCCACTTTCGCGGGCACCACCGTCTCCGTCGACATGGTTGCGTGAGCGGTGGAATCTCTGTCCCCGCCTTCTGCCACTGTCCGCTACTTGGAAATTTCTGTACAGACTTGGGGACAAGCTTTGCAGAGTCAACTGGCAGGAGAAGAGGAATCGATCGATTCCTTAAACCTACAAGCCCAGCCAACATATCAGCCGTGTGGTCGGCCAGAATTCACCGGGAAGTGCCCCTCTATTTCTTCCGCGTGGTCCACGACTGGTCCGACGAACCGGGAAAGGCCTCCATTACCCACCTCGTCTACCGCATATAAATGTCCGCATACATACGGCGGCATACCCTTCTCTGTTCAGCGTTTTCCGCGCGAGTCTCCCTGGCGGGGAGCCTTGTCATAAGTCCAGAAGATTTTTATCCCGAAAGAGGAGCGGAAAAAACACAGGGACTCCAGCCTATGTGGCTGAATGGTACAATGTCACGTGTAACTGTTAGGTAACGGACTGTGAGATCGAGTCCTCCAGAAGTCGGACGAACGCAGATGAACACATGGGATCGAATCCTCACGAAATCAGGAGAACGCAGATGAACACGAAGTATAGAAAAAGAACAAAGATTTGTCAAATGCCCCTGAAAGATGGGGTATTTCCACCAGATACCCCTCAAACAATGGGGCATCGGGTCTCTATCCATCACTCTAGAATCTTTTGAGAGGCTGGAGCTGTCAGAGCCGAAAAAGGGTCCCATTTCACTACTCTAGACTCGAAAAGTTGAGACCGGCATGCCTCCACTTACTCTAGAATTGGCCTCCCGAAAACTTGTCAGAAAAAGGTTCTCGCTCCGCTACTCTAGACTCTCAAAAACTCGACTCTAAAAAGGGACTCCCGAAAACCCACTCTAGAGTTGTCAGAAAATGCTGGAAAAGCATCTCGCTCCACTACTCCAGACTCAAAATTATCAGTCGAACATGGCTCCACTTATTTTAGAATTGGCCTCCCCAAAACCCATTCTAGAGTTGTCCCTAAAAAAGAACTCCCAGAAACCCATTCTAAAGTTGTCGAAAAGTACTGGAAAATTGTCTCCTTCCACTACTCCAGACTCAAGATTTTGAGTCCGGCATGCGTCCACTTGTTATAAAAAAGGTCCCGCTCCACTACTTTAAACTCTCAGAATTTTGACTATCAAAATGACTCATGAAAACCCATTAATAGAGTTGTCAGAAAATGTTGAAAAAGGGGCTTGCCCCACTAGTCCAGCATGTGTCCACTTACTTTAGAATTGGCCTCCGGAAAAACCATTATAGGGTTGTCAAAACATGAAAACACTCTTGAAATCATCAAGAGTGGTTATATCAATTTAGAGAATTTGCCTGTAATGTCGGAATCAAATAGTGTGGTTGCAAGGAACCTTTAGTCGGGCCTCGTTTTTCAAGCGTGGACCTGCAATCCCAATGGGAAAACTAGTAGTTTGAATCACCAGTACTCGACCCAACTATCGACCGCAGAAAAAAATAGAGTCAAAATGTTTCTAGTCGAATTAATTTTATGGGCTTCTGTAACGGCCCGTACATTTCCTAAATTATGGCTTGTATACAGGCACGACTCGGAGTTTAAGAAGTACACGCGGTTTAACCACCAGTACCTTTCCCTGCTTGCAAAACAAACATACAACTCGTTTACGGCTGCATTTTTCGGAGGTTGGGGTACCTAACCAAAATGGTTGGCCATGACAGCCAAAATCAGGTCCGCGTAAGTTTTTTCCTTTTTGGCGTGCAATGTATTTTTAGGCTCGACTTCAACAGTTGGACGAGGTACTAATGATTTTTGTTGTCCCGGAGTCATGTTGTCTAATTCAAGTTCACGAGTCTCTAGGCCACCTTTAAAAGTAAGTGAACAAGTTCACGAGTCTCTAGGCCACCTTTAAAAGTAAGTGAAGTAAACTAGAAGGTGAGAATTTCGTGAGTTTTTTACTCTTCGATCTGACAGTTTTTGAATTTGTTGTGTTAGTGGAGCGACGCCCATTTTTAATAATTTTGTACTTGTTTTTTAACAACTCTAAGATGAGTTTTGGATAGGTCATTTATAGAATAAGTGAAGTTATGCTCAACTCTCAAATTTTCGAAAGTCTATAGTATTGGAGTGAAAACTCTCGTTTAAACCACTAGGACCTTTCTTAGCTATTCGTGTCGAGTCTAAAATCAAAATGCTCGCAAAAAAAAAAAAACAAAAAAAAACACGGATTCGATTTTGGTTGGCGCCACCAACAGTTTCACGTCGGTAGTCCCGAGGTTGCCTTCCCCCCGTATTAACCGGCGAGCATTTATTTTTCAAGTCGGAAAAGGTACTGATGATTTAATGTTCTTCACACCGGTGTGATTTTTTGCGAAATACTTAAATCTTCAATAAAGGCTGATATTTATTGATATCCTCCTATCGAACTCTTCGTGTAGACTCGATTCCGATGACTTCGTAAAAAGGGGGCGGATGGGTTGGATCAAGCTAGGCTATATTGTAACTAGTAATTATTAGTGAAGCTCAAGGAATGGATGGATAAGAGTTTGAACATTTCAGCCGACAGTGGTTTATCTTGACGGATCTTTTAGAATGTTTAAAGGTTTTGTGGTCACCACATGGAATGTAGGAGAGATAACAGGAAAGGTGCTGCGAAAAAAGAAAAAAAAAAAAAAAAAAAAACAAACATTAATGGCAGACAAGCAATTTGATATTTTGCGTTTACATGAAACTAAGATCAGTACAATTGGACTAAAAGGGTTAGTATGCTGGATAATTGGTTGCAGAATAGAGACAATGGTTAGCGGAGGAGGCAACAAGGACGAGTAGGGTCAAAAAGGTAACACGGGTTCGTCAAGCCAAACGATGACGGTACATTTTGTTTTGCAAATGAAAAAACAACGTTATTTTGTTGCCATCCAACAACCGAGGTACCCGTTTGAGTAGGATGCCTAAGTGGCAGATACACCTCTGCAGATCCTCAAATATGTTATCAAATATTATAAATGGTTGTTTTCGGAAGACGAGCAGTGCACTACGCAACATATGGTTAGCGCCCCTCATAAGGAGGTTTGAGCCTCCATTACCACAACCCTTACAGAATAAGGGAAGTATAAAATGAAGCAGTCTATACAACCAGAAGAAATATAAAGGGAAATAAGAGAGTTATCACGCCATAAGTCATCGGGTTTGGATAACATCCTTGTGAAAATGTATAAGGAGCTTTCTAAGTTTTTGATCTCGTTTTTGATACACGCATGTAATAATCCATTGCAAAGTTATTAGTTTTCAATGACTTTTGAAAAGATTTATTGTTTCTTTGGTCCTTAAGAAGGGGATAATGATAAAATTCATAAATGGAGGCCAACAACAGTAATGAATTATAATTATATGACCTTATCAAGATACTAGAAAACAGGTTGACCGGTTTAACATCAACCATAGTCTACCCCTGACAAACAGGGGTTGTTCCATGCCACCAAATTGTTTCCACGATCTTGTTGGTTCGATAAGTTTTAAAAATGGCAAAAAGTGATATTAGTCTCTATAAAGTTTGAGAAGGCCTATGATAGAGTAATATGACTTTGTTTGCATGAGGCCTTTAGGAGGCATGAATTTGAATAAAGATTTGTTACATGAGTTCACATGCTGTCCGGAACGACCACCGACTATCCCAATTTACGGAAGAACCTTTGAGGTATTTCCTTCCACTGTTCCACACTCTCTGTCATGCAACGCTGCCCGATATCGCCAACCCCATACATTATATATCTATAAGTACTACATGATATGATTTAGAGGGATAGAGAGTTGAACGAGCTATAATTGCCCACTCATAAAACTTTTGATTCTTGTAAAGATCCTCAACACATACTCAATCTATTCGGGAGCAAGGGTCAATCGAGCTAAGTCCTTGATGACATTTCCACTTGGGTTAGACCTGGGTACGAATATGGGTATGCAAATATTGTTGGAGGAGATGGTTATTCGATATTCGGGCATTGAAATCGCTTTAGCGAAAACCGAAAGAATTAAGACGGGGGAGGTAATTTCCACAATTTTCAGTCGAGCGGCATCCGCGGTAGTAGGTAGATTGATGGTCGGAACTTTTGGTCGAGTAATCCCTGTAAATAATTCCCTTCTTGCAGTTATGTGGTACACGATGATATTTCACATGCCCTCCAAACGACAATTGCAATACCTTAGAGGCGCCATCACTAAGTACCTTTGGATGGGTGGTCCAACGACCTATAACGCAATATATACGGTGGCATGGTGAAAATTGGTCCAATCTAAGGCATAGGAGGCTCTTGCCATTGTGAACCCTCTGTGGCAGTCATGTGCTTTGCAAAGACGAAAAATGTTATACGTGTTGCTTGCACTGAATTCTCTGGATTGGAAGCAATTTGCAATCGTTCTCATAGTAGAAGCAACTCGGGTGCCCGTGTTAGCAGTATGGCAGACCCTCTTAGCCTCGGAGATGCTAACTAGCCTAAGGAAGGGGCGCTATGGTCACCCGTTTTAATGATCAGAAGGCAGTTCCTATTTCATCCTAAATGACAAAAAATAGTTTATCAAATTCTGACGCAACCGCTATTTAACAACAAATTTATCACGATGGAGGACAAGAAACCCTTTCCTTGGCACGGTGAGGCTCGAACCTTTGGGAGGAAGTGGTTGAAAAATGAAAATTTATCGGTGAAATACTTGTGGGATAGGGAGCAGGCAAGATTGAGGTCATATGAGGAAACGAGTCGTAAACTATATAGGTTGTTTGCCAATGCAAAGCAGCTCCACGAAAATCAGGATGAACACAGAATCCATGAAAACCTAACAAAACAAATTGTTAGGTTTGCACAAAATGTATTCAAGATTATAATAGTACATTTTTCAAGCCTCCTCCAGGAATAAAATTATATGTGAAGTAAAACAACCGCAAAAAAAAAAAAAAACATTACTTTTTTAGAACTACTGGAAGTAGCGAGGAGAAAAGCAGGTTTTTCCACATAAAATCACTACCGGGTGAAGCAGCGTACGTTCAAGAACTGAAATATCTCATTTTTTTGTAATCTAAAAAAATCATGTTTATAGTCCTATAAGATGTATAGCACGATGAATGTACTCAAAAGTTTTTTGAATGCTCAAACATGTTCTCAAACATA